ACGTTATAATGGGAGAAACACGGTAAACAAATAAGTAAATGTATGGTATGGTGAATACTGATATAGAGATTAAAAAAGAAAAACCGGGGAGGAGAATAGGAAATGTTTATTGCAGTGATGATGGGGCTGCAATTTTAGAATGGTCATACTGCATTGATTATGTTTAATACTTGAAGGGGATGAGGGAGAGACCACGTGGCTATGGGTAGGGAGCTCAGAGGTTTGAGGGGTGTGAGTAGGTGCGGGATTCCAGGCTAAAGGAATAGCAACTGCAGAAGTCCTAAGGTGCTGTCATGTCTAGTATGTTTAAGAAGCTGCAAAGGGGCATTGTGTGTCTGGTTGAAATGTGCGAGAGAGGGGAAGGCAGGAGATGATATGAGAAAGAGAAAGATGAGTGGCTGGGGATTGTTAGTGTGTAGACTTTATGATAACGCAGGGAAGAGTTGGAGCCTGAGCCCAGGTATGGCTTTATATCTAGGTCTCCATTTCTTCATCACTGGGAAGTGGACAGAAGACTAAAATTAGGTTTCTTTGTGCTTTAAAATAAAGTCTTCAGTTTGAAATCTATTGTTTTTCTTCCACTTGCAAGCAGTTAATTTACCACTTGGAGTTCTGTACTTTTCACGAACTCATCTCTAGTCGTGTTTCAGTCAAATAGGTGAACTTTTTCTTTTGTGTTGCCCTTTTCCCTCTCTCTTTCCTGACTGAACTTGAAAATTTAGACATTTGATAAACAATGGGAAATTATTCTCTTATTGCTGTGTTCAGTTATTAGTTCTGATGATCAGATTTTTATTTAATGCTAGCTAATAGAATTAGGCAATGTTTTTCTCTATGAAAGGACTGAAATTCTTTTGAATGACAGCTTGACTTAAAGACAGGCAGAAAGAAGAGGCTTGAACCAGCTCTAAACTGAATAAATACCAATTTTCAGTCAGAGATTAAATTAATATAATGTGCAGCAACTCATGAGAGCCTTAGCTGGATACTTATATGGAAAGGACAGCCTTTAGGTAGGTCTTAAAGTCGTATTTATTTAGAAATAATTGGATGGAAATGCTCTAACATATTGTTTTGATGGGTTCTATTAGTAGATGACAGGATTAAAATGAACATGTCATGAAGCTTTACAGTCTTCTTTAGGATAAATTCTTTTGGAAGAACAAAGCAGTATAAAAATTATTGTTAGTGCCTTTGAAATCTAACACGCACGAAATAGGACTTGTAGGCTCTCAAACTGCAGCTTTAATGCTGTAATAATGAAACAGTATAATCACTCTAAATAATTCTGCCACCTTTTATAGCTTTCACAAAGTGTTATAAATTATAACGATATCCAAAAATCTAAATGGTATCTTGGGTTTGATTTTGTTTTGTATCATCTACTAGGTTTTGAATACTGCAGGAGAGTGAGAATAAAAGTATGTTATTAGATAACAACATATTCGGCTAAGTTTATGGTGACAGTAAAGACAACAGTAATATTTTACAATAATAAGTTTACAGTTAGTGTTGCTAATAATTTTCTTTTGTCTGTTGTGTATCTGTAGGGCTTTTGTGGTAATTATTCTTTTGAGCCTGGCTGAAATTAAAGATAAATAAAATCTTAGTTGGAGCTTTCTTGACTAAATATAATTATTATCGGAGGAGTGAGGTGGAAAGAATTTATAAAATTTAGCTAGGTAAATAGTCAGTGTCATACATTTATTTATAGCCTTATACCTTACTCATTTATTTTTCCATAGAATAAAATGGTTTGAAAATTTAAACTGAAAGGCTATTTATACTCTTAAGACAGTGGCCTATTTAAATTAAGGAAGTAAATTATGATGAACAAATGAAGTGTATTTGGCATATTTTGAATGTGCCTGAATTCTAGACTTGAAAATCAATTTATTTATTTTATAGCAGTGTTAATTGTATTGATCCAGTAGCTATGCCAATTCTGATATTATTTAGGCAGTTTATGCTTTGGATGATAATTTTATTCATGCTATGTAAAATCTAACCAAGGCATGTTAACTTAGTTCAAGGGAAATTGTCTGAAAACTCTTCCTTTAATTATTTAAAAAAATTAACCAATTAAGAATGAAGAAGTAAATCTTTACTGAGACAGTTCCTCTGATGTTAAAAGATAGTGTAATTATGTTTTGTCCACTCTTGGCTCTAGGAAAATTGCATTGTTGGATGCTTGAATAAGTTGATAATAAAAAAAAATTTATTCCTAAATTAGAGGTCAGCAAATTATGACCTTGCTAAATCATTAAGTTTTCTAGGCTGGGCTTCAACTTGCGATCCTCCTCCCTGTGGCTCAGTTATGTATTGTTTATGTCTGCTTTGATGTTACAATTGTAGTATTGAGTAGTTGCTATTGAGCTTGTATGAGCTACAAAGCTAAAAGTCTTTACTAGTTGGCCCTTTAAGAAAAAAATATTCTTTATATTTAAGTCTTTTCTAAGTAGAGTGTGTTAAAGTTCTGGAGGAAGCTTATGAGGCTAGTATTTTCATATTTTAGTTCCCATTCTAAGAAAGAATACATAAAAAAAGCAAAACATTGTTCTTTTGAGTGTTATTTTCCAGCTTTCTTATCTATATGTAGGAATACTACCACTTTGCTATAAGGACTAAATGAGAAATGTGAATAAAATACTAAGATTAGTGTTTGGTACCCAGAAGTAATTTAAGCAATGGGGAGATATAATCATAAGTAGTTTTGAAATATACTATAGAGTTATGAAAGTCTTGGTGCCTGGGTGGCGTAAGTGGTATGCTTTTAGATTTTGATTTGTTCATAGATACAGCTTGTAGAGGCCTCGTATATTCAGGGTCTTAATAGAACATTGTTGATTAATTGCCCTTCATCTTTTTCTTACTCCTTTCCTTGCCTTTGTTCTTCATTCTCTTCTTCTCCATCTTCAACTTTCCTTCCTTCTGTTTCCTTTTTGATGGATAAATCATTGGGAGTACAGGTGTTAACTTTGGGTAACTACTTACAGAGAGAGTAAGCAGATACTCCAATACATAGAAGATTCTAAGTTATTGTTAAGCACTCTGGGAAGCAGAGGATCTCCAGAGTATTCTTGCAATTTCTTTCTTCCCCTTTATTTTTGTGTGATAATGTACATTGTCAGCCATCTGGGTAGTACATAAAATCCAGTTCTACCACAGCAAGTGTTAATTCACATCTTTTTTCTTGTACCATAGTTCCAAGGGTTCATCTTTAGGCAGGACTGTTTTTTTTTTTTTTTTTCCTCTAGAAGGCAGGAAAAATGATACATTCTCCCTAAGAGTTTGAAGGAGTCTTAATTGCAGATCTAGTCATGCAGAAGATGACCCTAGCGGTTGCATTTAAGGTAGAACAGTCGCTTATATTCTTGTTTCATATAAACATAAAAGGCTAAGTTATTTTACTTGGTAGTCTTTATTAGAAGATCAATTTGAAATTTGGAACCTAAGCCTTTCAAGTTACTGCAAAACCAAAATTGGTATAAATAAGAATAGAAGGAAAAAGGATCTAATATTTTTGTTTTTATTAGTGTTTCTTACTATTTTGTAGTAGTTTATAGTCCTTGTAGGTATCCCAGAAAACATACAGAAAACAAATAAAATTATAGGAAGACAGTGACAGCATTAGTAGAATCCTACACTGTAGTGTTAATAGCCTCATTTCTAAAACTTTTAGGCTCTCTTATTTGAAATCTTGTTGTTCATAGTAAATGTAATTCTATTTTAACTCAACTACATTCTCTTGTTTATTAAGTGTGTCAGAATTTATTAAGGACTGTTCCTATCTTCTTAAAATTACTAACCTAAATGGATTAAATCTAACATTTATACACATCATCTTATTAAAAGTAAAGCATCTTTTATATTTTTTCATCTTAAGATTTGTAATAGTAAACCAAGAGTTTGACAGAGGCAAGTGTCAATCTCATGTTTTCCCTCTGAGGACACTGAGTCACAGTGACTAAGGGAGGTTTTCTTAGAACTGCAAGCTGAATTAGGAACATAAATGTTGAATTTACCTTATTTTGTGTATTTGTAGAAACCAGACAGGAAGATTTAAAAAGTAATTCTGTGCTTGGAAATAGGTAGAAAACATGGAAGGTGAAGGATTGTTTCAGTTTTTAAAAAAAATTTGCTCAGGGATTAAGAGTTTTATCCTGCCAGGATATGTGAGAATGGGGGGAGAGTTGTAAGACTTGGTGAAATATAGTTAGTGTCAGTATTCTGTTTACTTGTAGATGAGAAACATAGTGCATTGATTTGGGGGGAATGTAATACAGAGACATATTGGGAATAGTGCATTTTGTTTTCTGTTTCTTGACTAAGCTGCTGATTAACTGGCAGCAAGGAGAGACCAGAAAGGCTATTCTGACACTTGGTAACCAGATGGGTCATCAAAGAAGACAGTTTTTAGTTGTTTATGAACACTCCAAAAAACCTTGGGTATGTAGCTGTCACTTGCATGTAAGAGGTTGTCTCTGTATTACATCTGCCAGTGTCCTTGTTAGCACTTTGTCTCTTTTATGCCAGATCTGTATCAGAATTTCTCACTTGCACTATTATGGGCTCGTTACTGTCATATTTTGTACTCCTTGGTGTCTTGAGTGGGCTTTCCAAAAGTTAATGCTCCATTTCCTTGGGGTTTTGTCTGCCATAGTCATTATTTTAACTTTGTTTCCATGTTGTTAGTTTTCAAAGTTATGCTTAGATCAAAAGATCTTAGTATTTTTGAGACTGTATGAGAGACCTGAACTATAATGTATAAAGCATATGGGGTGCATTTTTCTGGTCAGTTATCTGGAATATATTAGTAGATGAAAAAATAATTACTTGAAACAATTTGTTCTATTATTTACTGTTGCTTTGAAAGTTTAGGTTATGATATTGAAGTATTTAATAAATTTTCTTTTCATTAGTCAGACTTATTACTGCTATGTGCTTAATCTTTGATGAAGAACGGGAATAGTCTTATGGTGAATTCTGTTTTCTTTTAGTCAAAGACCATTGGTTTGTTAGATGCCGATGTGTATGGTCCCTCAGTTCCAAAGATGATGAATCTGAAAGGAAGTCCAGAATTATCACAAAGTAAGTAAAGAAGAGAAATATTGTAATAAGAGTTGCACCTTCATTTAGTACCTACTGGGTGTTGGTCATTGTACTAGATACCGTGGGTACTTTATATACCACATACTGTAGTGATTCAAAAATCAAATACGGCATTAGACTATCTGAGTTTGAATTTCAGCTGTGGGGTTTGAGTGAATTGCTTTAACCAGTTTGTTTTGGAGCCCTATAAATGAAATGGTTTTGCAGTTGGTGAGAGGATTGGTTTAAGTGTAATGCATTTAGCACCATTCCTGGTATATAGTAAGTGATCAAAAGTGTTGATATTCATTATTGTCTCTTTACATTAAATGGATGTATAGAAATATATTTGTGTTACAGAGATGAAAGTTATTTTCTTTAAACAGATTGTCCTATTTTTCTTAAAGTATTTTAAAAACCCCATAAAATATTGAATTATGTCCCAGCCTACTCAGTGCATTAATATGGAGAAATATTTTTTGAGTGACTCTTTATTATTTGTTAGTCTTGTTATTACATTTTCTTATAAAGTTATTAAATATAAACCTTTAGGAACAAAGAAATGCTATGATCAAAAATGAAAATTTGAAAATCTGGTAATTTCTTTGAAAGATAGTTTTATATGAAAGGATTTGATGAAATTGATTTCTAATTATAATAAGTACCAAATTGAATACTTTTTTGTTTCTTATTGGGCCTTTTATTTTCCATGTGTCTAGTACAAAATAACTGTACTTATTGATAGATATTTATTGGCTCTGTATAAGTAATAGAATTATTATTTTAGTTATCAAAAGTTAATTAGGCATTGTTACTATTACAGGTACTTTTGTTTGTGGTTTATTTGTTGGAGTCAATTATTATGTTAAAGTCTGGATAATTCTTTATGAGACAGTAAGATTGTAACATTTTGAAGAAAATTTTAAGAGCTAGTGGTGTTCAAATGAACTCTAGCAGTCATATATTGCAAGCCACTTACATAGTTTTTTTCTTGTTTTGTGAAAACATAAGCTTGCAAAGCTGTTACTCTAGTTTCTTTATTCTTATCCTTTTAATGCAACACATACTTAGTTTGCAGATATGTGACATGAGCCAGAATGTCAAAACTTCACAAATAAGAAGTGATGGATTTGCATACTATAAATGATAGTCATTATGTCCGTCTCTTGATTAAAGTACTGTGAAAACCGGTGCATGCAGCACAGGAGTGATGGCAAAATGAAGCCTTCAGTGTCATTCTTTTCTAAAGTAGCCTGTCCAGACTGTGCCAAAATAAATACTAAAAGTGAACTTTTTTTTCTTCTTGCTTTACTGAAACTATAATCTTAGATTTGATGTTTTCAAATTGTCTGCCATTAAGTAGGCTGTTTGGTAGAGACAAGATACTGAAAGTCTTAGAAATTTGGGGAATAATACTTCTTTGGTGTTGACAACCTGATCTTAAGTTGTTTGGGAAATAAATTGAATGATTTAGACATTCACTTAAAAGAATGTGGATTCTTGAAAACCCAGGATATAAATAAATTTTTTAATCTTAGGAAAACTTGCTACATTATATTCATTGGCATCATTTTGACATTTCTACATATTTATTATGTTGATTTATTCTGTTATAGTCTCTATTACAGAGAACACAATGCAACATAAAATTATCTGATTAACAATAAAGAAAAGCTGTGAAAGACTTTTTTTTAGCAATTCAGGTTTTAGGGAAGTGGAGCAGGGACTGAATCCTAGCTTTGTAGGCATTCCTCAATTGCTGGACTGAACTGGACAATTGTAGAGGCATAGAGGGACTTCAGCCTTACCTATTTGTCTTAAATAGAAATATGTTAATGTTTGCCCATTTGTTCGTTTTAAGACTTTGTGATAGGGTTGGCAACTTATACATTTATCCACATTCTCTTCATGTCTTTTTCCTTTCTGAGAGAATCATAGACAAACCACACTTTTTGTAATTACAAAATTTTAGCTTTAATAACCAAATTTTATATTTGATTTTTAGAAAAGCAAATTTAATAACTGAAGGAAAATTTTATGTTTTTAATAGTTTGGGGTTTCTTAGGTTGAGAATGTTTCTGTCAGCAAAAAGTGATGATAGTGATTTTTCTGCTGTTATGCAGAATTATGGTAATGTACAGTTTGTAGAAAGGATAGTGTATAAAAATATCAACAAATTGATATTGTGTTGATTGCTAGTTCCTTTGGGAGCCTAGTGGTATTTAGAATAAAATCTATGTGTGATTGGAGAAACAAACATTTAAGATGGAATATAACCTTTTTTTAAAAAGAACAAATGCCAGTTATTTTTCTCCATTTTGATTTCCTAAATAAGACAATATTCAAAGTTATGTGGTCATAGAAATTCTTGACTGTAAGGTTTTCAGTTGAAATAGCAAGTAAATATTAAGCTGTAGTTACAAAGATGTGTTGGTATATTTTTCCAACGTAGTATTCTTTTTTGTGACTAGGTTGAGGTTTTTTACTAAGCTTCTAAAATGACTTTTGGTGGTAGGAATCTGTGTTACTTTCACAGTTTTGTGATGATAAATCACTTTTTGAATATTTGTGAATTCATTACTCCTTAGTTTTACTGAAGAGTGTCTTTTAATGTACTGAGCTAATGAAGTAGGAAAATTTTAAAACCTATGTACTAAAGTGAAAATGTCAAGTAATTTTATTGAGAGTGACATAGTGCTTATTAATGACTAAATATGAGATTTTTTTTTGAGTAGCTTACTCTTGTCTTTTCTGTCATTGTGGGATAGTAATTTTGTACTCATGTTATAGTTCTTTGTTTTATCTGCCCTAATGTAGTAAGGTTTTTTCAAGTTTAGGGATGAATATGTATGTGCACTTAGGAGAATGTGTGGAAAATCAGCTTGAGCAAATGACCTTTTATAATAGCACATCTCTGGTAAAAGCTATGAGGAAGAGTAAGAATCCCCTCCTCTTTTTTTAAAAAGATTTCTTAAAGGTAATTTAAATGCATAAAGAATGAGAGCCAACTCTAGATATTCCTGAAGTTACCATGTTGTTTTAGAGGAGTTGGTGAAGTTGTTAATAGGAAATGGTCACAGTCAGATATTGTGGAAGTCCAAAACTTCGGACTTATGGTTTGTTTCTTTGGGTCACTGTGGACTCTTCAGTTTCATCTAATGCTGGAGTTCCTCTGATTATCTTTAGAGATGTGTCTGGGCTGTATTCCTTAAACATAGTGTTACTGAAGTGACTTTTTCCTTTTTTTTTTTTTTGTATTCCTTAAACATAGTGTTACTGAAGTGACTTTTTCCTTTTTTTTTTTTTTTGTCTGATTTTATCTTGTATTGTGGGTGGAATATTAAGCCAAGGTGACTTTTTTTTTTAAAAAAAACATAAATAGGGGTTAAAAGAATCTCAAAAGTTGTTCTGCTCAGGCTTTAGGCGTTTTTAGCATTGAAATATCTCAGAGATGAGAACTACAGTATATTCAGGGAAGAACTTCCTCATTCTAGTTCAGCAAAACCAAAGCTCATTCATCTCTTTACATGGTTTGCAGTTTCCTGTATAATTCATTAATGAGTTTGAAATGTAAATATCTGCCTAAAGTACTAAAACCCTTTTTATCCCTCTGACATTCTCAGTTGAAAAATAATCAGTCTCTTTTCAAAAATTTTTATTATTGTCCTGCAAACCATCTTAGCTGAGGATTGCAGCAAATGAAATCAGTGGAAGAATGCTTTGTTCAATCATAGAACAACTCATATTTTGGAGTTACTGCCTATTTAACTGTTATTACTGGTTTTCTTCTTAGGTTGGCAGCAAATAGGGTTGATTTCTGTGTGTGTGTGTGTGTGTGTGTAGAGAGAGAGAGAGACAGAGAGAGAGAGAGAGAGAGAGAGAGAGAGAAATAGACTGTACATCTTTGTGTTTGTGATTAGCACCTGCCACCACCAAAGTCTGGTAGTCTCTTTTTGTTTTTCTCTTTCACTTTTTGTGTTATGTCTGAAGACTGTCCTTGAGATGTACAGGATAAGTTGTTATGTGGCCATTAATGATATGACTTTTCTGTTAACAATGGTTATACTTCTGATTTCTCCTTTCCAGACTAGTCTCAGGTTAAAAATAAAACATCTTTTCTTATTTCTTAACTTTTTGGTAATTTAAAATGTCTTCCAAAAATATTAAAATGATCACTTTTCAGTATCTTCTTTCAGATAAGAAGAACTAAAAGAATTTACTATTATTAGGTAGAAGGAGGATTAGCTGGCAGTTTTATTTATAACACTGTACTCTGTTTTGTGCCTTCTGATGCTATTGAAAGTAGACCCCTTATTGCTGATCCATAGTTGCTTGAGTAATTCACTGGCTACTTTAGAAACCTTTTAGTGGTACTTGACAAAACTATTCCCTGGCCTTTTGATTAACAGAAGATAAAGCATTTAAGAAAGAATGTAATTTGGTAAAGGTAGGGTGTAAAAATGAATTTTGAGTAAGATATAAGGAATCTATGAATCAGGCACTCTATAGAAAAAAGCATGAGCATATAAATAATGAAAAATGTTCAAAACAAAACAAAACAAAACAAAAAAGCAGGGCCGGGGATTTAGCTCAGCGGCAAAAAGCGCCTGCCTGGCAAGCGCAAGGTCGTGAGTTTGGTTCCCGGTACCGGAGAAAAACCAAAAACAAAACAAAACAACAACAAAAAAGAAAAATGTTAAGTCTGAATTTGGTGAGGTTAACTAGAGAGCGAAGAAGTAAGCGTACTACAAAAAATGAAAAAAAAAGAAATATGGCATCTTTTTCAGTTTTCTTTCTGTGTGTGTTATATGGTACGTATCCGTACAGAGTACTGGGTTAAGATGAAATGTTATTCATCAAGATTGGTGTCTTAGTTAGTTTTTTCTCATTGCTGAGACAAAATACCTAACGTCCAAAGTTAAGGGAGGAAAGGTTTATTTGGCTCATAGTTTGTAGAGGTTTCAGTTCATAATCTGCTGGCAGAGTGGCACATGCCAGAG